AAACAATATTGGTTCATAAACATTAAAATAATGGAGTTTGACTTTTTGTTTTAAAGTGTATTTCTAAAGGGGCCTTTAACATATTTCCTTCAATATAATGAATCGACTGCAAAGGACAACTGCTGGGCCCTGAGAGTGACAGATACCTGCTGTGTGCTGCAGAAAGAGACTATGTGAGAGAGACTGAACTATCTGGAGACAAAAGCAGCTGTAGACAACCATTCATACTATATAAAGATATTTTTGAATGAAGGCTTAATTTCAGTCATATTAGCTCGAGCTGAACTTAACAGTGATCGAGTCTGAGCTTTTAGGAAAGGGTTAAAAAGAACTGCTGGGAATTAAGCTTTTTAAGCCAAGGCCTGATCGCCTCTGTGCTTTAATCTGGACCTCAGGAAAGCCAGGAGTTTGTTCTGCAGACTTCAGTGACTTTGAAGAAGTGTACTGGTTCAAAAGATCAGAAAAGGTATGAAGCCGCTAATTCCTGCAATGCCTTAAAAACAAACAATAAAATCTTAAAGGCAATTCAGAAGCTGACTTAGTAACTGTGCTGCAGCGTTTTAGACCAGCTGCAGTCGGGCTCAACCTGTAGTTTCAGGTAATACTGAATAAAATATTTAGTTCATTTTGTAAATCATGATCATCATCAGTCACAAAGGAGGGTTCTCCAGGATATACTTATTGGCTAATAACCTGTCAATCACAAGATGCAAGTCAATGAGTGAGCAATGTCCTCAGTCAGCTCCAAGCCACACTTCTTATGTGGTGCTGACAACCAAAATTACCCTTTCGACCAATCAAAATGATGGACACAAACCAATGAGTGGCATCACTGAGGTCATGACCATCCCTTAGATATAGTCGATTGTGTTTTTCTGTCTGTGTCAAAGATATAACGAGGTAGGAAGGTGTCCTCACTCAGACGCTTGGCCTTTCTCACAGTAGGGCTACTTTCCAAACCAAATTCTAACAACTAAAACTATTTTGGAAAGAAGATAAAAGCCAAACTAAATGAGAATGTTTCTTCAAATTATGGATTGTCGGGTTATCTTTCTCACGTCAGAGACAAAAAGCAGGAACAGATCCTAACTGAGTGCGGCTCCAGCGACCACAAGCTGGCAACTGAAAAAAGGAAGAAACAGTAATGCAGGGAAACCAGGGGTGTTTCCAAGAGTCTGCTAATGTACTGGCAATGAGCAGAAAACTGAAACATGACACTAAAACAGATCTTTACTTGAACAAGTTCTATTGTGCTTTAATGCCACATTAAAAAAAAAAAAAGCAGAAATATTCCCAGCAGAAGAAGAACAGGGACAACTTGCTGCTCAGTATTGACAAACACGCCCCCAACATCAGGGACAGACACCACGAACACTGGAAAAAACATTAATGTTGAATCAACTGAAAGTGTCATTTCTAAGTCATTTGGTGTTACTGTTGTGCCAGTAAAGCCCCTCAAATTCAAATAAAAAACTCAAATCTTATCTGTCTACACAGACCTGAGATCAGCAGAGGAGAGAGCAAAAGAGAGAGCACCTTCAGAGGACGACAACAAAATAGGTGAGTCCATGTAACGCCCCAACAACTCTGTTTGGGCATTTTTAGATAAGTAGTATGGCCTGTACAGGACCTGGCCTGGTCCAGTGTCCAGGATTTGGGGAAGACTTCTTTGCCTTTGCCAAAATAAAGACAAACTGGACATTTTCTGTCAGATCACAATATTAAAGGTATTAAAAAGTGGACCTTTTCTAAGCAGCAAACACTGATGATAAGTTATGATTTAAGATATGATTAAATACATAATTTTGCACCAACACTCCAAAAACTAGGACGGGCTTAATTTAAAATTAAGCTAATGGAAACACAGGTTAGTGTGACCTAATATAGCGCAGCTGCAGGTTTCCTTCTGTTCGCCACAAAGCTGTACCTGTGCTTCAGCACAGCCAGGGTCAGAGTTAAACTCCAACAAATTAAACTCTAAAATAAGCAGTAACAGGAGTCTGACCAACAGAGTTATGATAGAGTTAAGAAGAGTTAAGAAACCAACAACAATTAACCCCCTTGCATTCAACCTTTTCCTGTCCTGCGGTTATAAACACTACTGTTCTGCTCTGCAGCCAAGCAGGAAATGCTGATATTACCGTGTCCCACCGACTTGTTATCTGAGGTTTGCTCACGAACATCGAAAGCCTGGTTTGAGGGTTTGCACATCGCTTTTATCTGCAGAATATAAAGTGTTGCTTTTACCTGCACCCCTGTTTTCATGTGCATTGACTTCCTGAGCAAACAGCGTGACTGACTGTCAGGCAGTTTGACTTGCCACAGCCGTGAAGCCTCTCACAGGTGGTAATAATACCTCTTCTCGGTAAAGAGCTACGGCGTTAGAGATGCTGCTGATTTCACGCCACAGCCACGTGTTGCTTCATCAGTGAGAGTTCAAAGACCGAACTTTTCTTTTAAAGTCTGAAAAACTCAGGATATTATTAAAAACACTTAGCGTCGTCCTGAAGGCTTTTCCACATTCCTCAAAGTCTCCTTTCACTAAGTGGGAGAAAAATGTTCAGGCTTTGAAACATTCCAGCTGTTTTGGCTCAAGTCCACTCAACCAGGCAGGCAGCCATCTTTGTTTCGACACAGATAAATGGAGGACAAAGTATCCCAAAATTTTATTTACTTCGGTGAAATACTGAGAGATTTCTCAACAGAAAAATAAATAAACGAAGTGAAAATATATAATCATCCAAAGCAACAAGACAAACTTTCATTTTACAGAAACTGGATCACAAGAATATTTTTATTACTTCAAAGCAAAAAGGAAGTAGGGACTGAAACACAAAATATTTTGTAAAAGTGGTGCACAGTCCTGCAGCAGGAAGGTTCCTGGGTCAAACGTCCTGGTCAGTTTCCTTCTTTGTGGAGCTTACTCCTCTTCTGCATAAAAGTTATTTGATAAATCAAAGCTTGTCATTATAGTGCAAATGAAATACAAAGAAACAAAAAACCTAAAACAACAACTGCAAAGATATCACAAAGAATCAACTAATAAAAGAAGAAGAAATAAATGATAGTACACATTGTCTTCTCGTCTCCTTTATTAACACACAAACATGGGGAGTCTGAGGACATTCCTCAGCGCTTCTTACTTTCTGACAACACTCCCTTCTGTACTTAAAGTCTCCCAGTGGCAGAATCGAAACAACCCCTCATCTCTGTGTTTAACAAGTGTGTTTGTTTGTCTTGTCAACAGCCTCCAACTTTGTCTACCTTAACGCCATCCCCACTGAGATGCTGACAGGCCCCTGTGCAGTGCAAAGGGCGGTGTCCTCAACACTCGAGAAGGCTCCGGGTTCCTTCACACCAACCATAGTCAACATGAAAGTGTCTCTGAAGGGTGTCACTCTCACAGACATCAACAGGAAGTAAGAAAACACATGAAATCAACGTTTTGCTGAGATTTTATGTGCTGCCGTGCTGTTTAGGTGTGGTCTGTGTGTGACACTGGGTCAAGACTCATCGTTTCTTGCAGGCTCTTCTTCAGGCGCCATTACCCTGCACACATGCTGAGCTACGGTGGTGAAGATCCAGACAATCGAGTGTGAGTATGCACGACATGAGCTGCGAGCGCAGACGTCAGAGATCATCTCCACTGGTGGTCATCAACGTGTTTCATTTCTAATCTGAACATTTGTCTGTCTTATACTCACAGGTGGACGAGAGGTTCAAGTTTTGGTGCAAGGTAATCTGAACTTCAAGTCTAAACAGGGGACCTGTTCTGTTCATTTACACATTTTAGCTGTATTAGTGTAGCTTTGCATCAGCAGCAGCTCAAAATAATCCTTCTTTATCTTACACTGTGTCTTGGTGCAGGAACTCAGCTCATCCTCTTTCTGAAATAAGGTGTTTCAGTCAGCTCCTCCCTTTTAAGCCAGCTTTTTTCTTATTGGCTGCCCCTCATAAATCAATTGTTTGAATAGGATGTGGGTGGGGCTTCTATGAATACTACTGAGAACAATATATTTGACAGTAAATAATGAAAAGCAGAAGAGGTCCCTTTGAAAAATATCTTCTTCTTGGGGTGCAGATTAATCTGACTCATGTTTCTTTGTGCCGACAGGTTGTTTGGCTTTGTGGCAAAGGGCATTGAAGCCGGTATGGAGAATGTTTGTCACGTATTTGCAGAATATGACACCCTGCAGCCCTGCAGCGAAGTCATCAAGGTGATTCAGGCAGCTGTATCCAAGCCATAAACATGCAAACCCAGAGACGGCGTGATACATCTTCAAGACTCCTGCTTACACTTTCTGTTTAACACTGTGCTCTTCTACAAATAACCTGTCCAGTATGGTGGTTACAGGAAGTGTCGCTACTGCTTTGGAGAAAACTGGACAAGTTTGTGTTTCTGCTGAATTGCAAGGAAAACCTGATTTAGGTTCCGGTGTTTGATCAGATAATAAAAATCATATTAAAAGATATATGAGTGATTATGGCAAAAATTAGGATATAGTGGACTGCACCTATAACATGATTGTAAATGAATGAGGCGCCATAGTTTGAATATCATCCAATCAGCTTGTAAAAGCAGTAAAACAAAGCCAACTATTTCTTTTAAGACTGCTGAGAGAACAGTTGTAGATGTGAGAAAGCGGCACGCTATGTCTTCATAAGAACAGGAGCCCTTTTCCCTGAGAGGTGAACGTGCATTATCTGATGCATTGAAATATAGTGATGTGGTAATTAAAAGTTTGAAGGTGAAAAGACTTGAAGAGAAACAAATGAACCCTGGTAGGTCAGTTCATTTCAAATTCTGCAGCTACCCCTGAATGTATTTATTACACTGCAATGCACTGTAAAAACTTTATTCTCTGTATATTCGTGGATTTTTATTTTTGTTTTTCATGATGGAAAATAAACATTTTTAACTATTCATATGTTAATAGTGTGTGTGAAAATAATAAAGAAGAAGAAGCTTTATTTTGGACGTGACAGAAAACACAACAGTCTGCACATATTTCTGTGTTTTATTTGAAATGATAAATCTTTAGATAAAAGCACAATGCTTCATTCAAATGAAGAGTGTGCTTCCTGAAGCAAAGCAAAACCAAGTACAGAACTGCATAGGTAATTTTTTTAAATATTCTCAACATATCTTAAGGGACCCAAATGCAAAGCTCAGCGGTCCGCTTCTTTTATATATATATATATATATATTTATCTTTGGTGCCAACTCAAAAGATAGCATAAAAACTTGAGTCTAAGGTGCAACAGGACGTGTTACAGGACCGAGTGGAGCACTGAGAACACTCTGCAGTGGTAACTATTTACAAACACTGCCCTCCTCTGGTTAAGACGGGGAATCTAAATTCTCACTGCTGTTTGGTTCACAGTGAGTATCACACAATAACACCATAGCAATATATATTATTGTATTCTTTTTAAATCCCCACACAGAGGATTAACCGCAATGACAAAAGACCCTCAGAGTAAAAGAAACTCTTCTTTCAGTGCTGTGAGTGTCTGCAGTGCAAAGCAGGAAGGGACTGTATGAAAATTAGCGGACACGGAGCAAGGCTTTACTTTAAAAGCAAAGTTTAAGACACTCATCTACATATTTGATGTTATATGTACCTGAAATCGTCAGAGATGGTTATAATGTGGAAATTGAAGTAAGTTGCACTGAAATGTGACCTGTTATTGTGCATGATCTGTAGTTGCGTGAACTTGTTTGAACTATCTGCTGCTGTTTTGAAAAAGAGATGTTACAGTCTTTTATTGGGATAAATAAAGGATGTCATTTAAAAATGTATATAGATCTATTAGATTAGTTAGAATGATTTTTCCATCAACCTTTTTTTTTCTTTTTACATTTTTTAATTAATTTTTAAAAATTAATCTGTGATCTGAGCAGGACTCCGCCTTTCAGGATGACCTCTTGAATCGTGGCACATTTGTCTATTTGCAAACAAGCTTTTTTAACCCCCCGTCTCAGTGCTGGAATCCCAAACATTCTGTTTCCATCTGTTCTGTTTCTCTTTCACCTCAGAGTCATCCTCACTACAGACTCCTCTCACCTGAAACCCAAAGGTGACCTGGTCTTTCTGTTTTTGCCCCCCCACAGTCTGGACCCGTCTGATATGTCCAACAATTGTTAAATCGGTTCTATTTGATGATCTCTTATTATTTTTTAAACTCATTTTTTAAATTCATCATTAGTATTTGTTATTAATTTTGATTTGTGGGTTTTTTATTCTTTTTATATTTTTCCTGTCGCTGTTTTATTCGCTACCTTTTGATTTCTCACCTGATCACCTGCACTTCCTGCTCAGTACTGCCTCTAACGCATCCATTTTTTTACACAGAATAACTGAAAAGCACTTTGGGGCTGCCCATAAAGAACTGGGCTGTTCATTTGGTCTTCCTTTGGGTCAACTTCTGTTTTTTTCAAGTGTGCTGCACGGTCAAAGGTTACCTGATGGGACTGGATGTCCATCTACTAACCATCCAGTGTTAACGAATATCAGCTGGTTAATAGACGTAGGTTTAGCTCTCAGATGGCCCTCCTAAAAATCTGATTAGGCCAAAGGTTAAACGAATTGGTACCTAATGCAGGAGAAACATTTGAAAGCCATCACAGTGATTCTTTCGTCCATCATGTGACTTTCAGTAGAAGTTTTCCTTCTCAGATTTTTTCTTTTGCACTTTGTAAACTCTATTTTAAAAGTGCTATTTAAATTACACTTTGATTGCATTTTTATTTCAGTCAGAATAATATCAGGCGGCTTCTTTGGTCAGTGTGTATGTTTTTTTGAAAAATGGTGCGAATTGCACTTTTTAACAGATAAAATTTTCTCCCAGTGCAGAAACCTCACGGTGGAAGGATTAAAGACTAACACTGTCTTCTAAATTAAATGTTAATGATCTGATGGGAAAATAACTTTCACGTGGTCACCGATGCACATATCAAAAGGGAAAATGGAAAATTTCCCAAATTCTTCCATCAATTTTCCAATTCTGATCTATTTATTGATGTTTTTACACATGTTTTGCTCTGCTCTGAGATGCAGACTGGAGTTGAACGATTCTGCGACATTGACAAATTTTATATGTCATTCCTACAAAAAAACAAATAAAAAACAAAACTTTGTAATTTTCATACAGCCCCTCACAGAAAATCTACCAAAACATGAAAATCCACTCTTAGGTAGTTCACAGCAGCTCTTAGTGCTGTGTCTCCATCCATCCAAGTCTACCTGTGCTCTCAGCTTCCTGTACCAGGTGCTAATCAGGGTTAAATGCTGTAGTTAAGCAGAGTCATTGTTATGATGTCTTTAATCCAGTGAAACCTAACTGAAACAAAGTGTTCAAAGACAGCTTTTCTTCATCTAAAATGATGACGCAGAAATATGTTTTACATATTAAATACTTATCCTCTGTGAAGTAATGACTGTAAGTCTTTCTGACACTATAAAAATGGTCACCACAAAAGCCTGATGGTTAATGATCGTCCTGTCAAAGATGAGATCTGATGGGAGCTCATCAGCTAAAATTCAGATTAAGCACGATGGTGACGGGTGGTAACGTGCCCACCGTCGTGGCACAAATGTTATTTCTGTTACCGCAAACCAGTGTCAGCTCGGGCCCAACGGTGACCGAGTTACTGCGTGATGGTCGGGATGCTGCGGGATCTCTTCATGATGAGACGTACCTCCACGTCGGGGAGGCTGTCCTGTTTAGTTTGGGCGCACCCCTCGTCCGCCGCGGCCATGTGCAGGTCGAAGCGCAGCGACACGGACTTCTTCCTCAGCTTGGGATTCCCCCTGAAGAAGGAGCCCTCCCACTGCTTTATCACCTTATCAATCTTCTCTGTCCTGGTGAGAGACGTTGGAGATGTTGGTAATAAACGGTGAATATGCAAACTGTAAACAGATTCTGTGAAAAACGTTATCGGGCTCTTTGCGTTTCTTTTGTTTGTACAATGACTCATCTTCTCTTTGAATTTGAAAATCTGTCTTTTCATCTAAGTGTCATTCATTCATTCTCATCCTTGCTGAGACAGATAGAGCCTGCAGGGGGCAGCGACGGAGAGCGCTGATGCTAAAATGTGCTGAGCTTGAATTGCCCTAGATGTAGCCTTTGATAAGACATGATGTGAAACATAAAGAAGATACGCCCTCACTCTGTATTTTAATCATGATATAACACATCATTTTGTATCCTCATCAAACTATTTTTGAAGGCTTTTGATATTCTGGGAGACAGTCAATCAGCTTTCCATTGATTTACAGTGACCCTTCATTTTTAAAGAGACAAGTAGACCCAAGCCGTGTCAGCAAACTGCTCTGAAACTGCACAACAGAGCCTCTGGATCCTCTCATGCTAAGGGTTATTTGGGGCTTCCTTTAATTTGTCTGCACATTCATAATGATACAACTGTCTGGGAGGGAGGGAGAGACCTTGCCTCAGCCCACTACTGCACTTTAAAGTGTGTCACAGCTGAAACGGGGTCAACTAACAGAGTGGTAGAAAACTGAAACACAGAGGTTGCACATTTATGTGTGTTTGTTTTGGTTTGTTTTTGTGTCAGATGGTTTCCAAAGTGGGTTCGATAGTTTCAGTTTCATCTTTAATATTTTAACATGTCAGTTTTATTTAGTTTTGATGGTTTAAGCGTTTCTGTCGTTTTAGCTTATTAAAATATGGGTTTTACGTTCGGGGGTAGACTCAAACAATTCAGAATGCATATTAATGCAAAAGTAAAGGGAAATTATTTGACATTGGTTTAAAATAATAACAGTTGATTCTGTTCTGGACATGTTTCATCACACATCCAAGTGACTTTTCAGTCTCTGCTGACTGCAGGTTTCCTTATAAACAGAACATCTGCATAATGACTGAAACCAGCAACACTGTGAGGTCAGTTTCATGATCATTAATATGTAAATTGCCATGACCACTGATCAATGGTCATATGCACCATTCACCATTCACAGCATTGTAAGATGGTGAAAGATGTACCCTTAGGCCTCCTCCTCGATTTCCATGTAAATGTGTTCCTTGACTCCCCAGACAAACCAGCGTTCCTCCCACTGAAAACGCTACATCCAGATAAACAGATTTTTTTTGGGACCTCCTCACCTGGATGATTGAGCATGCATCAAGACAAGTTTTCACAGGACTGCTTCCAAGTAACAGCCCATTACTGCTAATCAAATCCACTTGATTTAATCATCAGCACCTCTACAAACACAGTTGTGAGTGATGCCGTAAAAGCAGAGGCTTTGACAGTTTGATGGTCTGGAGCAATGATGTGTGTGTTAACATAATGACAAAGAAAGCCCACAATGATCTCAGACAAGCAATCGTTGGTGCCCATCATTCTGGGAAAAGTTATCACACCATTTCCAAACAATGTGAAATCCTTTGCTCTACTTTCACAAGTGGAAAACATTAACGTTGTCCGTTTTCCCAGGAGTGGACGCCGCAGCGAATCCACACCGAGGTCGGACGTGCAGTGCTCAGAGAAACTGCAAAAAACACAAAAGCTCCAGTTTAGACCCCACAGGCCTCAGTTAGCAACTTGAATGTTAAGGTTCATGAGAGTTCAATTAGAAATAGACAAAACAAGTATGACTTGTTTGGATGGGTTGCCAGGAGAAAGCCTGATCTCTTTTAAAATCTGTAGATGTTCTGGATAAAGTGAAAAACAAATTTAGTGATGAGGGCTCGTCTTGATAAACAAAACAAAAACCAAACAAAAGAAACCAGCACATATAAAAAAATAATAATAATTCACTACACCTAGATCCCAGATATCCCATGCCGATCATATGTTTTTAATTGCTTCAGCCTGCCCACGGTTGCTTTTGCATCTGCATCCATCTCTCGTCTGTTGTGACTGATGCAGACTCTGTTATTCGCTGGGATCTCGCTGCTGCTTTTCCCACATCAGATGGAAATAATCACTCCTGATTGAAATGTAATATTTACTCTGCTTGCAGCTTTGTGTTTGATCTACACCTTTTCTTTTTTCCTAGCAGCCCCTTGCTTCACTGTTTGACCAGCTACTCCCTAATTGTGTCCTTGGCTGTCTGGTCTTATCAGGCAGTATGGAGCAGGTTTGTCAGAGCTTTTCTGCTGGGAACAAGTGTCTGCCTGGACTAGAAATGAGCTTCTATGTAAGGTCAAACAAATTAGCCATGCACTAAAAGGCAGTGTATAAGCAGGGTGAAAGACATCAGGTGATAGTTGTCTGTAGATCGTTCACTGTGATTGATTGATGGATTGTTAATCTAAAAATGTCTTGGCAATTATCTCCTAGTATACTAGTAATTTGAAGTCTGCAGTTACAGACGAAACACCAGTTTGCTCAGTAACTGCAGACAGACGCCTCACTCAGGGAGTAGCTCTGTGCACTGCTTTGAAGTTAAGAGCCGCACACTAGTGGATATTTCAGGCTCTGGTCACCTAGGTTACGCTAATGTATCAACAGCCCGTCATATATCAATCAGTCACTTTTCCTGATGTTGGTAGCTGTCGCCAGTAGTTATCTTACCCTTCATCACTTTCAGTCACTGAATGTCATTGACTTTCTCTGCTGTTGCCACATCACTGCGATCACTTCCTTTGCTCCTGACAAAGTTGATTAGTTTAAACAGACAGTTTTATTTAGTTCTTGTTCATTTTTCCATTTTTTGTGGGAATGTCTTTCAGCTCTTCATCACACAATGTTTCGAACATTTAACCAGCATGAAACTGGAATGTGACACAACAGTCAGCTGCTGACATCAGCCTAATCTTATTTGCCAATCAAATATGCACACATAAGTCAGCAGGGTGCATTCTTACTTGTTATCTTTAGAGAGGGAAGAAGGGCGAGGTTTAGTCTAATTAAAAAATAACAAGGTCAAACTATGCAAGAGGCCCTCCCAGCAATAGCACAACAAAATAATAAACACGGGTCGTCCATCTTTGATGTGGGCAAGCGCGGTCACCTGCAAAATGTAGAAAATAACAGGATCTTTGAAGCAAACAACAGCGCACTCAGGAGAAAGTGTGAGGACATGACCGATAGTTGCTGGGCCGGCAGAGCAACTGCGTCTCTTTGCATCTGCGGCTCTCTGAGGACATTATGCAAGTGTGTATGCGTGGCTGTGTCTCGGTCTGGTAATACCTGAAGCACGAACAAAGATTTCCACCCATGTCTCGTCCAACAATAACAGGTGTCACGCCCTGAAGCATGCATACCGGGCGAGTACCTCCACATCAAACACAGGCCATTAAAGGAGGAGAATTCCCATGCAACCCAGTGAGGAATTACTCATGGGAACTTAGGAGAAACAAAAACATTTAGCTCACAACTCGTTCGATGTGTGAAGGTAATTCTTCTGTTCGCCTAGACGTCGCCGGGGAGTGGAGTATGATGACTGCATGCTTGTGAACTAATATAAAGACTCTAATTGAAATGTGTTAAAGCTTCAGGAGATTACATGAGTAAGATGTTTTTGCAATAGGGATTTATCTGTGTGATGTAATTAGCGGTTACTATTAGAAAATGCCTAGGTTTCACACTCAAGCAGAAGCACTGACTGCAGGCCAAGTGGGAGCACAGCGATCAATACTTACTCAATGGTGCCGTGACCCTCCGCGCTTTCTTGCACCACATTGCCTTGAAGGATCTCCTGAGTCTTCACAGTGGAGATTGGCAAGTCCTTATCTAGTTCTGGCTCTGCGAGAAGTCGTTAAAGATAAACCATAATAAGAAATGACTGCAACAAGTAGGCGTGTCACTACTTTTCCATCAATAAAGAGGAATGCACCGAAATGATGAGACGTCAGCTTTTTGGCCAAAAAATAAGATTACCGATGCGACCCAAAGACATTTACATATCATTTGTTCCCATGGAAATTACCTGAACCTCTCCTTTGAAGCTGAACATAACACCGGGCTCATGTTACACTCTATATTTGCCTGTTCTATATTTATACAGTAATCAAAATGTCCCGCAGTATATTTGCAGAGCTTTTTGTTATTTTTTCCCTGTACATTAGAGTCCATTGACATCTCTTGTAGTATTCCCCGTCTGCCTGCCTGGTGTCCTGTGTTTAAGTCCCTTTAAGGGTTTTGGCTCAATAAAAAGAAAAATGGAGGAATGGCGGCTACATGGTGGCTATCTTTCTGTCAGTATGATGTGAGATGTCCCACTCAGTGCTGCACAGCTGATTTTTCTGATGAGGCCCATACACTGTATATAAAAGATGGACATAGCCACTGTGACGTTACCTGCCGGTTTTGGTGTTAGCATTTAAGCTACTGTGTTGGTTTCTGGAGCCAGAAGTCACCATAATTAAAAAGAAATGGGTTGGAGAGCTAAATTGTAACGCTATCGAGTTCTGTTAGCTTCATCAATTTTGCAGACAAAACACTTATTCCCACATAGCAAAGTTGGTATGGCCCGGATCTGGCCCACACAATATGCTTACACATTCTTTGCACATACCGCAAAGAATGATGGCCCTTTGGTGGCCCAGATCTGGTTTGCCAGAGGTGGCTCACACATGGGCCAGCACAAGGCCTAATGTGTCACATTGGCTCATTTAATTATGACACACTGTATGAGAGACACCTTAAATCAAAGAGGGACTGGTTTGCTCCGCACAGCGAGGTAAATGTGTGTCTTACCTGTGAGTATCACCAGGCTTCGCTGTCTGTACAGTATGCTTTTCTTCAGCCCATTTTCTGTTGGGAGGAGTGAAGGTATGTCAGGGAGGGGCTCTGACTTGGGTTCGTCTGGAGTAACGGCGAGGTCACTGAAACCATTTTCAAGTCCATTCTCCTTTGGCTCCACGACTGAAGACCTCCATGGCCGCAGAACCATCGGCTGTGCAGTACGACCCATGTATCTGCAGGCACATGAAGACGTAAAGATGTGTAATATATGTACGACTCGGACGGCGGGAGGGATCTGTGGCGGCACTATATCCCTTGAAGTCTGATTGTTTCCATGTTTGACACCAAGTTGTCATATCATGAGTTCACAGTTCTTTACTTTCGCTTCTCTGTAGAATGAAGGATACAGCACCTATGGTTGTAACCAGACTGCTGGTCGTTAGCTCTCCGCTCTGCGTTCATATCCACAGTAATGTAGAAGCCACGACTGCTAATACATGTTTATGCAGGCAGGAGGTCTGTCTCCAATTAAAGCCATTATAACTTCCTGAAGTTACTACTAATTTTCAAGTCGTTTGATACTTCCATACCACCCCAACTGCTTCTTAGTCATCTGCTTTCATCATGTCATTTTAATTCCCAGGAAATTCCCATCCTTTATGCTAATGTGAAACGAAAAGCAGATTAGCTGAAGACTGTGGGAGGGATAAACACAGAAAAGGCAACAAAAAAAAGGTATCAATTTAAACAAGTTTGGCCAACTGGAAACACATGAACAGGTTTAATAAAAAACAACTGAATGGAATTTTATTCACAACAAGGTGCTTTATACTGTAAAGAAACCCCACCAAACAATCCTCTAAGAGCAAGCACGTGGCAAACATAAAACCAGGCCTCAAACCAGCACCTCTCTTAGGGCTGTCAAAAAGGAAATCCTCAGATGTTAATCCGTACTAAAAATTGCTTTTAGATGTTCCAAAAAATTTGATTCTGTTCATCTGGACGTAGAGTTTTCAGTGGGAGAAACGTTTCGTCACTCATCCAAGTGACTTCTTCAGTCTCAGCCGACTGCAGGTTTCCCCAATCTTACAAATTGGAGGTTCATTTTCAACTATGCACACAATTTGGAAAACACGAAGCTCATGAAGTGTAACAGTAACATCACTCAAACCCCATTTCCCGGTCTCACTCAGATGTCATCGTTCTGCACACTTCGCTCACCTGCAGGAACACCGGACATCAAAATGTAACATCCTGGTTGCCAATTAGCCTCGCTCATGTTGCGCCTGTTTAAACTCCGCTGGAAGAACAATTCAGTGGGTGAAACGAGCACAAATGAAGAACGTAACGTCACACTTGGAAGGCGGATGATGAATATGAGAATCAAAAGAACTGGAAATTATAATAAGTCGTTTAAAAAATATATAGCCATTAAAACACGGTTTGATGTTTTTACCACACGAGCGTTTCTTTGATGTTCTATAAGACATAAGCATAGAACAGCAGTGTGTATTATTTTGGGGGGAGGATTCAGTTTGAATAGAGAGAGCGTTGTTTTGAGGCCTTTGATGTGTGGAGTTTTGACAAAGCAGTCTGTATTCAGAGTTTGGAGAAACTGAGCCACAGTTTCTAGAAATTTGGGAACTATTATCAGCAGAACTACCTTTTTCTGACATTACTGTTGGTAACGTTGCGCTATCATTTTAAAAGTTTGCTTTGTGTTTTGCATACTTGTGAATGTTGGCAGATGTTAGCATGCTAACAGTGAGTTGGACAGACCATCCAAAGTGTGTGCTCAGGTTGTGAGAGCAGTTGGAGCCAAATGATGCAGCACAGTGCAATGTGTCCTACAACCTCACTGACACACGAGCATGACTTCTATTGTTGTTATTTAACAATTCATCTGCGATATTAACACAGTGTGGTGCAAAAGACAATGGTGATGTATTCTCTGGACTGAGCAGATGATCTAAAATTTCTGCTCCTCCCCTTTGTGAGTGTGGACGCTTCATCTCTTTGCTCTTGAATGCTTTGCTTCTTATATTGATTTTTATTGATTTTTATGCTGATTTTTTCCCTTTTTTCCGTGTGAGCTTACCTGCGATAACTTCTGGACACTTGTAGATCATTAGGACTAGAGTGTTCTTAACAGAAACAGCAACATTTTATGGTTACCTTATCCTCAGCGCTCCGTGTGTCTGTGGCCTAGACACAGCTGAAGCCTGATTACAGCGTCTGGGCACCGAGCAGCCTCAATAGCCTGGAAAGGTGCTAACCGCTAGGCTAACTAGCAACAAGATGCCTTCCCTCTCCACAGATGACTACCACAGCCTCCTGCAGAAGATTGCAGTACTGGAGACAAAAATTCATCGCTTAGAAGTAAACGTGGAGGTAAATGGACTGTGTGGAAATGAAACAACCTTGCCTTTGATTCAAAACAATGGCGATGAGCAAGCTAGTACACAGCTAAGGAGCACAGATAACATGACCAAGAAAGTAGACTCTGTGCATTATTATAAATCCTCAAGTGATAATCCCCCCTTAGACTGTCTTGGTGCAAAACAAAGACATAAATCATGTCTCCTGGTAGGGGGAGGACGTATCACAGGCAGGGCACAGCGAGCTGAAATCTCTGAAACCGACTGGCCTTCACTTCCTACGAGACAGAGAAGCTCTTCTACCCCTGTATACGGGAGGAAACAGGACTGGACAACCGTGAATAGGAAGGTTAACAACAAACCTCCAAAACAACTGAATGTGAAACTGCAGAACAGATTTGCTCCACTATCAAAGGACCCTGGATCTATATCGGACAACCATCCATCTAAAAGCAGCGAAATAAGGTCTGAAAATCTGTTGAAAAGTGAAAGGCCACAGGGAAAGCTAAAGGCTAGGCCTGAAACTCTGATTGTGGGTGACTCTGCCGTAAAGGATGTACAAAGGATGTGCGGTAAGAACACTAAAGTCCTCTGCTTTCCTAACGATATGGTCAACAACCTGAAGGAGAGAATTCTTCAAATTGCAGATGAATATCCAACTGTGACAAACATTGTTCTGCATACAGGGTCAAACGATGTGTCCAAACAACAGTCGGAGGTTCTGAAACGGGACTTTACTGGATTATTAAATACTGTAAACTCTCTGAATGCAGCTGTATTCATCAGTGGACCTGTACCGCCGGTCAGAGGAGGAGACGAGAGATTCAGCAGGTTGTTTACACTGAATAAATGGCTTATATCAGCATGTGCTGACCACTCAGTGCACTTTATCGACAACTTTAATATTTTTTGGGAACGCAGGCATCTGTTCAAAGCAAATGGATTTAATTTTAACAAGTCAGGGGTGAAACTGTTCACCTCCAACTTGTTTTATTCCATACGTCATCCATCCGTGCTTGGTGCCAAGGCTGAGATAAACGAGGAGTTATCTCATAAAGAGGAACAAACAGTACTCCAAGAACAGACAAAGCCCAGCAGAAACCTTGAGGAGGAGCTCCATTTGCCCCCACCCGGGAAGAGCCTCAGAAAGGAGAGACATCCATGGAATCTGAGGAAGAGCCTCAGAAAGGAGAGACATCTAAGGCAAGAAGAGGGGTCCCTATTTGCCTCCAACTCTCTCAACAACACCAACGACCAGGACAAGGGACCACGACCTTCCCCAGTCCCCCAAACCCCTGACAGGCCATCACCCTCCTCCCCCTCCCTTTCTCCCTCCTCCCCACACCTGAAATTCACTGAGGAGATGATGGAGCGGGTCAATGCTGGGCTCAGATCTACCCCCCGTCCCAATCCCTTTTTGTCCCCCATAAACCCCCCACCAGAGCGGCCAAAGGTTCGCCATCGAGCCCCACCCTCAACAGAGCAATCGAAGTCACATTGCCCAGCCTCGCCCCCCTTAGTTCCTCTTCATGCCCTGTCTCCGCAGTCTGATGTGTGATGTGTGAAGGGTCCGGGCTGTGAGGATTATGGCAGTGATGACTTTTCCCAGGAGAAGCTGGGACCCTGTTTACTAGAAGGTTTTAAAATTTCTGTACTTTTAGGTGACAGGAGACATGTGGCCTGGTCAAAACACAGAGAGCTGCACTCTAAAAGATCTTTAAACATAGTAAACATACCTTGTGTGCCACAGACTGCTCCCAAACACGAGGGGACAAGTAATACCTCTAAAACACTTAAGTTGGCTTTATTAAACATTAGATCTCTAGCTGGGAAAACATTTTTAATTAATGATTTAATCACTGAGCACAGCCTTGATTTTATGTTTTTAACTGAAACTTGGTTGGACCAAAGTAACAGTGGAGCTGTTCTCATCGAGACGACCCCTCCTAACTACATTTTATCAGTGAGGTCAGGGCGAGCAGGAGAGGAGGAGGGGTTGCTGTCTTATTTAATGAATCATTTCAATGTAAGCAGCTATCTCCTGGAAGTTTTCAGTCTTTTGAATATGTGGCTTTACAGCTGAAGGCCCCATCCAAAGTTGTGTTTCTTAATGTTTACAGGCCTCCCAAATACTGCACAGACTTTTTTAATGACCTCAGTGAACTGCTGTCTGTGATCTGTGTTGATTTTGACTGTGTAATTATTGTTGGGGATTTTAACATTCATGTGGACAACCCTCAGGACAAAGGGACTAAAGACCTGAGTAACACTCTGGGCAACTTTGGGCTGACTCAGCATGTAACAGAGGCCACACATAATAGAGGACACACTCTTGACCTACTGATCTCCAAAGGCCTGAGCATTTCAAAGGTTACTGTGTCTGATGTGGGCCTGTCTGATCATTACTGTGTTTTCTTTGAAAGTAAAATCTCAGCCCACACAAATATATCAACAGCAGTAATCACAAAACGGTGTATAACTGAACACAGTAGTGCAATTTTTAACCAGGTCTTCCCATTAACACCTGACCTGTCCAGAGGGTCAGTCAATGAGCTCGTCAATAGCTTCAATGCTAACATGTTAAATGTAATGGACACTATTGCTCCCATTAAGGTGAAGGTTATCTCTGGAAGGAAAAAGTCTCCATGGAGAAACTCCACACTGGTGAAAAATGAAAAAAGAGAGTGTAGGAAAGCTGAGCGCAGATGGAGAAAAACAAACCTCCAGGTTCATTATGACATTTATAAAGAGAAACTTCACAATTATAATTTACAACTGAGGAATGCAAGGAGGTCCTACTTCTCTGACATCATCACTAAAAACAGCCATAATGCTCGGGTCTTATTTTCTACAGTTGACAGGCTAACAAACCCTCCTGTGTCAGTGGCAGCTGAACTTCATTCGACCATGGCCTGCAATGACTTTGCCAAATTCTTCACAGACAAAATCAAAAAGATTAGACAAGCAGTTGGTACATCAACAGCAGATCCAGAATATGTACTGTGTCCACCGAAAAACTGTTTAAACACCATCAAACAGTTTGACCCTATTAACAGCAAAGACCTGGAGGACATCTTAGGTCAACTGAACTCCTCCTCCTGCTGTTTAGATGTCCTGCCAACAAGTTTTTTCAAAAAGGTCTCAAAGACTTTAGAGTCAGACCTGTTACAGATCGTCAACTTTTCTTTATTATCAGGTGTGTTTCCAGAACCACTAAAAACTGCTGTAATCAAACCTATACTGAAAAAGGACAATCTTGACAAGACACAAATGAACAACTACAGGCCGATCTCAAATCTCCCGTTTTTAAGTAAGATCATTGAAAAAGCAGTTTCTCAACAGCTCAGTTACTTCTTAAAACAGAATAATTGCTACGATGCCTTCCAGTCAGGTTTTAGACAGAACCACAGCACTGAAACCGCTCTGACCAAAGTGTTTAATGACATATGTCTGAATACAGACAGTGGAAAAATGTCAGTCCTAGTTTTACTGGATCTCAGTGCAGCATTTGATACAGTTGACCACAACATATTACTCAAACGACTGGAGAACTGGACAGGTCTTTCAGGAACTGTACTAAACTGGTTCAAAACATACGTAGAAAACAGGAAATACTTTGTATCAATAGGTAACTTCACATCTGAGCAGACAAGTATCACATGTGGAGTTCCCCAAGGTTCCATCTTGGGACCCCTTCTGTTTAACATCTACATGCTCCCACTGGCACAGATTATAAACAACAACAAAATAAACTATCACAGCTATGCAGATGACACACAAATATATATCACAATGTCACCAGGAGACCGAGGCCCTGTACAGGCTCTTGGTAAATGCATTGAGGAAATCAATGACTGGTTGTGCCACAATTTTCTCCAGCTAAACAAAAACAAAACTGAGGTAATAGTCTTTGGTGCCAAAGAAAAACGATTACAGGTCACCAGAGAACTTCAATCTATACATCTAAAAACCACAAACCAGGCGAGAAATTTGGGTGTAGTGATGGATGCAGACCTAAACTTAGAAAAACACATTAAGACAATAACAAAGTCAGCTTACTATCACCTCAAGAATATATCAAGGATAAAAGATCTGATGTCTCAACAGGACCTGGAAAAACTAGTCCATGCATTCATCTTTAGTAGGCTTGATTACTGTAACAGCATCTTTACAGGTCTACCTAAAAAATCAGTCAGACAACTACAGCTCATTCAGAACTCTGCTGCTCGAGTCCTCACTAAGACCAAAAAAGTGGACCACATCAGTCCAGCTCTGAGGTCTTTACACTGGCTGCCTGTCCGTCAGAGGATAGACTTTAAAGTTCTGATGCTGGCCTATAAAGCTCTGAATGGTTTAGGACCAAAATACATCAATGACCTCCTGACCCAGTATGAACCATCCAGATCCCTCAGGTCATCTGGATCCGGTCTTTTATCAGTTCCCAGAGTCAGAACCAGACACGGAGAAGCTGCATTCAGCTTTTATGCTCCTTATATCTGGAACAAACTCCCAGAAAGCCTCAGATCAGCTGAAACACTCAGTTTATTTAAATCCAGGTTGAAGACTCACCTGTTCTCAGCTGCATTTGAATAAAGCACCAAATCCACACTTTAAGCTTAAATTTCAAAACTTACATTTAACTACTGATTTTATCTACTGTTCTGATTTTATCTGTTTTGATTTTATATACTGTTGTTTGTTTGTTTGTTTGTTTGTTAACTAGTTAGTTAGTTTATTTGCTTGTTTTATTCAATTTTAAATCATGCTTTTTATTTGTTCTTGTTTCTAATGTCTCTGTAAAGCACTTTGAATCACCTTGTTGTTGAATTGTGCTATACAAATAAACTTGCCTTGCCTTGCCTTGCCTAAAAGCATTGTGGCGCGACCTTTCAGAATCATCTTTTGTGCTTTTTATTCGGTAAATACCCATTTCACAAACCTCAGCGGTTTTATGTGCTGAAGCTTCAGTGAGACTTGTTTTTAATGCGTGCAGATGCTCTGCTCTCTCATTTTTTCTTGTTTTATTGTGTTTTATCCCACTCAATGCCGCCCTTCTCAAATATGACTAAACAATAGAAATTTCATATGCGTCCTGCCCGTCCTTGCATCATCGTCATTAATCTAAAGAGATGAGACAAATCAAAGGCAGCACTCCACTCTGCCCGTAACCTATGTGGCATAAAGTCAAAGTGATGTCTCCTAGCTATAAAACGTCAGCAGTGCGGTTGATGCAGCAAATGTGTTGAAGCATCTCAGAAGAGTCTAGCGTCCAAATGGAAGGAGATAATTAAAGGCCCCGTCAGGTGAGCTGAATATTCCCCTATAAAACAACTTGGCGCTTGCAGAAAAAGCCAGACAAAGACGCCTCTACTGTCTGGATTCTGTCAGCTCATGTAATTAAAGACAGCTGGATTTTCAGGCTATGAATCGGAGAGTTTGTCATCTTCATTTCAGTTTAACAGAAATGTTTATGTGCCACTATGTTGTATGGGCGGACAGCAGGGCCTGAGTACGTCTCAACTTGCAATTATTGTGGATTTTGAATTTGTATTCAGGTAAATTCAACATAATCCAAAAGATAAAGGTTAAGATTTGAAAGTGTCAACTCATAAAAGCTTGACAGCTCAAGTTAAAGAAAACAAACAAGAAGTAATTTTGTTTACTTTGTGCATTACTTCTGACAATGACGCTTCTAACTTGCTCACGGCACTAAAGCGCGTGCCAAGTTTGTCAGACTCTGCTGCTTGATGCGCGATCTTTTTCTTTTTCTCAAGGAAGGCATTTCATTAAATTGTAAAGACAAGGAAGAACTCTAAAACCACAAAATTCCAGCTCAAACAACCCTCCTGTCTTCTTTTAAGATTCCTCGCCCTTTGTCTCGCGCTCACCTTCCCTCCTCGCGCTCCAGCAGACGGCGGTAAGTAGCAATCTCTCTCTCCAGCCTCATCTTAGTGTTGAGAAGCTGATTGTGGCGCTGACGCTGGGTGGCCAACCCGCTCCTCACCTGCTCGAGCTCGCTCTCCAGCCCAGCGATCACCTGGGAAAGATCCTGCAGCTGGCTGGAGTAGAGCCTCTGGGTGTGCTGGAGGGACGTTTCCAGGCCTTTCTCCTAGACGCCAGAGAATAAAGACCTGTTTGGATCATGACTTGATGGTCTTTGTTTTCTTAAAAAGGAATGCAGTGAATACAAAACGATATTAAATAAAACAATTTTACAAATTCACCTAAATATATCAAGACTTTTAAAACTTTAGTGTCAACAATGAATCGAAACGCTTTAGCGCTCAGAGCTCTCCAGATGGAGCGGTTAGACGACGGTAAACTCAGCGTTTTTAAATTTAAGGGGGATTCTGTGCAGCTTTTTAATTTATCATCAACCAGCAAAATTAAAGTCATGACTCTTTTCCCAGTCTTAATAATTAGGTGCTTCTAGAAAGCATTGTACATAGAAGAGGAAATGTTACGCTGCTCTGTGGGCATACGAAAGGTCACTTTGTTAACTAGTGTATCAAATTGACAAGGCTAAAAACTTAGTTAGGACTGGATCAGGTGACTAGCAGTTTAATGCTTGTTTTATGCTGTTCTTGTCTTTCTATGCTCCTCTCTTTGTCTCCTCACCTTCAAACTGTTCATAGCAGACTGCTCTTCCTCCCTAAGCCTCTGTCATGGTCCTGGGTCAGTGACCCAGCGCTTTAAGTTTATTATTATCATTTTCTAGTTTATTATTATGATGATTATTATTGTTTGAGTTCTACGTGTTATATTCGGTCTGCCTCTGAGTCTGAGTCTGTATCTCTGTCTGTCTATGGTGTCTCCCCGTCTGTTTGTGAATCTGTCTGTTCAGTTCAGCGTCTTGTCTGGTTCCCTGTGTCTGAGTTTCCTGTTTTATTGTGAAGGTCTGTGTCTTATGTGAGTGTGCTGAGTTTACGTTTCCCTGTCTCGTCAGCTGTGATTTCTCCCAGGTGTGTTCCCCTCCTGTCTCTCATCCCTTGATTACTGCCGTCTGTGTATTTAAGCCCTGTGTTTCTCTGTGTTAGTATCGTACCTTCAACTAGCTGTGTGTTCTGCTTCCGTGTTTAGTGTTTCTTTTCTAGTGTTTCAGTTCCACTATTACGACCTTTATTTTCTTTTAGTGAGTTTAGTTTGTACGAGGTTTCTCCAAGCAATAAAGCTGCGCTTTAAGTCTCACTTCCGTGTCTGAGTTCTGCATTTTGGGTCCACCACTCCTGCTTGCCTGCCTGCCACACAGCCAACCATGACAGCCTCGTTCTATTGAAGGTTTCTTCCTGTTAAAAATGAGTTCTTCCTTCCCACCATTGCCAACCCACAGTTCACAGGGGTTTGTCTGATCTTTAGAGGGTTTTTTCTAATTCCGTGGGTTCATTCACATCCATAATGTAAAATTGTATTAAAGCAGCAGTTGGGAATTAAATAAACTGAACTGAAATTAAACTGAATGAGGTTTTTTTTATATTCATAACTTTTTCTTCTTTTTATTCCAGTTTTCATTCCTTAGATTTTCCATGAATTGCAGTTATGGAATCAGTTACACAATGTTTATGAAAGCAGCTCTGAAAATGAAGAAATAATAATAAAGTATCTGTGATTGAAAGATAGAAACCTTATGTATATCTTGGCACAGATGTATTAAAACTCCCTTTAGTTGCTAAATTGAAACATTACGCAAAAACAGTATTTTTTCTTGTTATTGTCGTCTTTTCACAGGCAGTCTGCCGTGTGGTGTTGAAGCAGTGTTAACAGTGTGAATGATAACTTTAGATATTTGTTTTTTCTTACCAAAGCATGTAGGGTCTCAATCTCCACTTGCAGCGAGTGCCACTGCTTCCTGGCCTCGGCTAGCTCGGCCCGTGCCTCCCTCAGGGCGGCGCCGCCGAGGCTCACCTGCGCCCACGCTGCCTCCTCCTGCACAACGAGAGGGGAGCCAGATGTTTAAAGAGGTGTGAATCCCAGCACCACCACCCTCTTCGCCAAACACTCACACAACTACCTAGTTTTCCCTTATAGAACACACTCAAGTGGTTTCATATTTGTGTTAATGTAAAGTAGCTGATGAGATGCAATTGTTGGGTTTAATATCTGTACTATGTAAACGAAACAGAGGCCTGTTCACACAATGACACACACACACACACACACCTCATGAGTAAGTACTTTTTCCCACTGGCACCGTCAGACAACACAGAGGCGAAGCAGTCACAGGTGGTGCCTTTGGTGATGTGTGTTTCAGTGCAAGGTAAACAGACAGCGTGTACACACAGCTGTCCACACACTGTACAGCTGTGAGGCGTTTCACACCCTTCGTCCTCGCCCCGTTAAAATGCAGCAGAGCGGTGAAGCTGTCTCAGCACTTATGACAATATTTTGACAGATAAAACAAAGTTACGCAAGATACTTCCTGTATAATTTGTTACTTCACTGACTCCATTTATCAGTTGCAACAAATTTAAAAAAAGATCTTTAATCAAGGAGACATTCATTTAGGGCAATATTAGCTGAAATCAGCAGCTCATTGATGATAACACCGGCAAACAAGACCTGACCTGACAGTGGGTTTAAAAGGGACTCCTTACATATGCTTGCATATACATAGATTTTTATTTGAAAGTTGAGCATACACTTGAAACGAGCTATATATGACACCTACATCATACACATATATCATCTATATCCAACAGAAGATAAGCACTAGAAGTAAAATCCAAACAAAAACTCTTACAGAAGAGGTTGTGTTGGTGTTGTGTTATATTACATAAGAACATATCAGTGAGTTATTAATGGGGCCGTTATATGTGGAGCATGTTGACGCTGAAATCTGTTCTTGGAGTTAAATTATTATGTGTATTATATCACTGGGTTAACATTATTGTTCTGGAACAGCTCATTCATGTGTGTGCTTTATATACTGTTGACATGTGTTTGGGTAAATATTTGCATTTGATCTGCTTTCGTATGCGGTACATTTTTTAAAATTCTACAGTTTTTTGTTCTTATTCCTGTTTTTGCTTTTCTTTTCATCCTGTTATGTTTTTAATTTGTGCATAATGCTGTTCGTTGCCTGGTCAGACTCACGCTTGCATACCGTGAAACATCAGTGCACCACATTCTCCTCACTTATACAGCACTATGGAAAGTCTTTTCATCTTCATTTCCAGTAGCAAGAAAACTGCAGAATATGACATCATCTTGACATTATTACAGTTATACAAAGCTTGAATTGCATCTGCTGCGATTCCAATCCAGGCTTTTAAGAAAATCTAAATATAAACTTTTGTTTGTTCAGAGACAACTCCAATTGGCGCCTTTAAGCTTAAAGAGCTTTACTGTCATTGAACGTGATGACAGAAGTCATGCATGGATGGAGGTTTGGATTCTTTAGTCTATTTTGCACTCAGACTTTGACGTTTCATAAGGTAAACATTGTAAATGTTCCCGGGGACAACGAGGCTGCTCTGTATAATCTTACACGGTATCCAGACAGCTCCTCCTAAAATTAAACCTACATATTATTATATTATCTTTCTGTCTTGTGGAGCTCTTTATACTTTGTTTCAGCAACCAGATTACTGTCTCTGAAATAACCTATTACTGCTGCGCTTTTTATGTCATTTTTGGCACTTTGAACACCATAAAGTGATTGTCCAGTGTGCAGAAGCAAATGCTGATGTCTACTCAGCTAAAATCTCCAGAACCAGGCAGTTCACAATGTAGACACAGAGCGTAAACTCTGGTGTGTGCACTTAAGATCTAAAACAGATAATTATTCGGCAGAGCTGCAGAAATTAGGATAGATTATTTGCCAAATACATATTTGGCAAATAATCTATCCTAATTTCTAATATTTTTGCTTGCTTAGTTTAATTAGCAGGTAAAATACAAACAGAGGCTCCTAATGCTGTACAGGGAGTTGTGGTCCTGGGTAACGGACCGAGTGTCTTAAGTTTATAGATTTTGTATTTTTGTTTTATCTGAATGTCTGTGAAGGTTCTCAGTCATCCAGGTCATCGTAGTCAAAGGAGCTTGCAAAGAAAAGCGTCTGGACTTCTTTAAGTTGCTTGAAGATGTTTCACCTCTCATCCGAGAAGCTTCTTCAGTTCTAAGGTCAAATCTGGGACTCCCCACCATTTGACCTTAGAACTGAAGAAGCTTCTCGGATGAGAGGTGAAACATCTTCAAGCAACTTAAAGAAGTCCAGATGTTTTATCTGAATGTCTTCTGGCAATTCTTAGTCTTCCTTTGTTCCTTAGTTCCTGGTTATAATCTTTGGTTACTGTTCTTTATATATTTTTCAGTTTAGTTCCATTCTCAGTTTTTGGTAGTTTAGAGTTTAGTTTCACACTTTTGTGTAATTCCCCCGTATTGTGTTCATTTGTGTCTGTTTCCCCATTCAGTTTTATTTCACCTCCTTTTTTATTTTGATAAGTCATCTGTCCTTGTGCCTTGCATTCACTTTACTTCCCCTCGTCTCATCTTCCCCATTTGTTGTGCTTCCTACAGCTGTGTCCAATTCCCAATATCCCTCAGTGTGTGTACAAGCCCAGTCAGTCCTTTGTCGGTGCATTTGTTATTCCTTCCTGTTTCCTGTTTCCTGGTTGGTTTGTTTTTTCCTCCTTCTGGATTTAGTTACCTTTTGGACTTTGTTTTCCTTGAACTGTCTACACGTACTCATTAAAGGTATTCTTTGAGTTTTCCACCTGCCCGTGTGTTAGTCTGACTTCTGGAGTCCACATCCACACATAACAGGACAACAAGAAGCAGTTGTCCATGTATTGATAAATCAGTTAAAGTATATTAACTGCTCACGACCCCCACAAAACAATTCATTTTAGCTACGCAAACGTCCCTTGCCTTAATTCCTACAGATTAGAGGAAAAGAAGAACTCCTCTGAAACAAGCCAAACGCAGTCTTTGAATCTTTGAATGATTTTTTTATTGCCGTGTTGTCAGCTCTTGACTGCTGCATTGTGCTGCTGTTAGTGGGTCTGATGTAAACAGCAGAATTTAATAAAACCTGCCCTGATTTAGTGCCGTGGTCGCTCTCAGCCCTTGGTGAAGGCACTTTATTGTTGCTGTCAGACCAAAGTCATGGTGCTGTGGAATAATAAACAGCTTCTGGACTGTGTTTTTCCCAGAAAAGAGGCCAGCTGAGCTAAAATAAGAGTGGAAACGTCAAAACAAAACAAAGCTGCTATTACTAGACACAGGATGAGGATGCTTAGGTTGTATTTTGGGTTGTAAATATTTAATGAAGGTGAGGGATCATTCACACAGACCACCACTACTGTGTTTAGATGAAGAGAGAAAGGAGACAAACACACAATCTGCACACAAACAGGCCATATAGCAAGGAAGGAGAGGTTTCAAGCTTTTTATCCCAGTCAACAAATACCAGCGGGGCACATGCATCACCCTGCCTGTGGGTCAGCCTGGAGTTGGTCCTGAGGGTGTGTCGGACCGGCACAGATCAGGACCATTGTCCTCAGAAAAGACAAGTGAAGATTGTGTAAGAGTGGATGCGTACCTCGCTGAGGGCTCCTCTGTGTGTTCTGGATGCTGCTGCTGCTCCAGCTCCAGCATGAGGAGGCCCGACCAAGCCGGGGGCTGGATTTGAGATGGCGCCCAGGCCGAGGTGTCTCTCCCCCGGGCTGGGGAGTCTGCTCTGTTCGCACTGCGCTCTGATTCGGTCGAGGAGCTGGGTGAGCTCCATCCCTGTGCCATCCTCCTCTTCCCTTCCTCCTGCTGCTGCTGCTGCTGCCGTGGCAGTCGCTAACAGAGCATCACAGGAGCTGGCCCGCTGCAGCTGCAGAGCCCGGGCTGCCTGCAAAACAGCCAACCAGGGGGAGGGAGAGAGAAAGGGAGCAGAGAGAGAGGGGAGGGTGAAGGATGGTAAAAAATACAGGCGAGACAAAAAGAGAGATGAGAGTTGGATTAAAATAAATTCTGAATGAAAAAGGTGAGTAAAATGCAAAGGAGAAAAAAGTGGGAACACATGTGGAGAGACAAGGAGAGGAAGAGTAAGCAGGGATCAATACCACATTTATGCATATGTGTGTGCACGAAAGGATCCTGAAAGTGAGGGAGGGGAGTATTAGTCAGCAGGAATGAGAAAATGAAGATAAGGAGGGAGGAAAGAAAAGATGGAGGAGGGACGGACGAGGTCACTGTGAGCTGTTTCTCACACAAGGAAAAAAAGTGCTCATGCACACCCAGTCATTACAGGACTATTATGTCGAGGTTGGAACAGATCACTTATAATTTACGTGTTATTATAACAAGTATTCCTATAATTAGAGATCTAAATAGGACTATTACACACATTTTATATATCATAACCACTTAAGGGTCATGTAGCGTTCACGAGAGGAGCACATCTGTGGAAGTCAGAGTGAAGGGACAAACAAAGACTGTGTGGAAATTGTTTTTCATCCTGTTTTTAATGTGAGAGATCGAGACAGCAGATGCAGTTAATAGACAGTCCCTTGAAAATGTGCCTCATCATGTACCTCTTTTCCACAGCCACTGACAATAAAGGCTTCAAAGGCCTTAAGTTTGTTACATGCCGATGGCAGCTTTTTGGCACCACAATGTTTTTGCAGTGGAAACGTGTGAAAACTGGTTATAGACTTGTAGGGGCTGGTTTCTGCTCTCTTTTCCAGCCACTACAAGATGACAGTTTGAATCCAGCACCAACGAGAAAATGTCAACTCATTCCTCCAAACATGCAGGTACTGTAATTTCCTGCCTCTTCGCTTCTTCTTCCTCTACTCTGTCTCAGAATTACTGAGTTTTGCAGCCTCCAGGGACCCTGAATGTTCTCGCTGAAGTTATAGGGGTGAGCTAGTTTCTACTTTGGAACACAGTTACTACTGTGCATGCAGATGGAAAAGCACGGGAGGACAGAAAAGAGAGCAAAGTTAAAAAGACAAATGAATGAGAAGGCAAGACAGAAGAACATTTAATGACCTCAAATTCCCGGTGCATCTCCTGCAGCTCTGTCATGGAGCGGTGAACCTCTGCATGCAGTATCATGCTGCTGTGATCTGCCGTCCTCTTGGTCTCCCTGAGCAGAGCCACCTCTTCCTCCAGACGCCTGGTGTTCCTCTCTTCGGTCTCGCACCTGCGAGGGGATATTGACACATATCGACCTAGTTTTATTATTTAAACAGTAAAATGCATGAACACACCAACCACCCGGCATCCATTCACATTGTTTTCTGGGGGAAAACTTGCATTTTTGAGGCCATTACAAAAATATGAATTCATCCTAATTTCAACCTTAACTAAATATGCCTGCTGAGTAATTTATGATTGATTAGAGGACCAGCTAACATCTAACTGGTGCAAAACCAGTCCAGGGTAGCATCTGCTTTAATCTGGTTCAGTTCAAACTGGAAGTTTAGCAGATCATGTGCAGCCAATGTTTAATAAAATGGAATAAGCTGATAAACACACCAGAATAAGATGAAAGACACCACATGAATTAAAATTAATGAATAATGATTCAAGTTAAATTCCAGGTTTTTGTTTGATTAGTTGTGATTTTTAGATAATCTTCTAATTTAAAACATTTGAAAGGTACTTTATAGATGACAAAAAGTCAAAAGCTTTTTGTGTTTTATTATAAATCACTGCTTGCAGCCTACCTGGAGTACCTTCAGGACTCACCACAGGATCACAGCTCACACTGTGGCAAGCATTTAAATTGAGGTTTGATCGCTACTGTGCATCAAATGTTTGACCTTTGTATTGAAATCTGTGTTGTAAGATTCAACCTTTGCTTTTCCAGTTAACTGCTTCAGAGAAGTGTAAACGGGTTAAAAATGTGTCATTTTTATTTCAACTTGTAAATCTGGTGAAAAACATCTTGATTAATCCTGGATTTGTGAGTGAAATGCTCATATGCACTGTTTGTGACATGCCAGGGTCCAAAGTGGCGCAGTGATAAACAATGCTCCCTCACAAGAGGAAGGATCTGGGTTTGAATCTGCCAGTAGTCTGGCAATTTTGCAGCGGAGGTATGTTCAAAGTCATGTTTTATTTATCGCTCCGGCTCGAGACCGAGCTAATTTAGCAACTGAAATGACTGAGTAGGGCAATTTGAAAGTAAACTAAGAAAACACCCCAGAAATTCTCATCATTGGTCCAGACAACATGGAGGAAGATCGCAGAGAAGGTTGATGTGACAGGCTGAGACAGAGACAGATGATCCCTAAAGAGACCAGGCAGGAAGAGGAAGAAGAGGGCGACGATGACAACACGACAAGCATTTTTGAGAAACATGTAAATAAGGTCACCCGATCCCTGGTACTACCACCTGAGGGTCGGTATAATCCACACTGAGTTTTAGCACTCAGCTTTTCCTCTTGGACAGATTATTGTAAAGCTCTTTTACAAGCTATTAATCAAAAATCGATCAATAGACTTCAAATCACTCAAAATGCAGCAGTAAGACTTTTTTCAGGAACTAATGAAAGTGTCTAAAAATATTGCACAGATTTTACTGACTCTACACTGGCTGTTCATTAGTTTTACAATTGTTTCCAAGATTTTGCTTCTTACTCTTAAAGCTCTTTGTGGCCTTGTTCCAGAATACACTGGAACCTTGTGCCAACCAGTGCATGGCCCGAGCGCTAAATCACAACAACAGTTGCCTCAAGGTGTTTTATATTTCAAGGTAAAGACCCTGCAATAATACAAAGAAAACAGAGAAAACCCCAAAATTCATGTGACCCCCTATGAGCAAGCGTTTTGGCAGCAGTGGGGAGGAAAAACTCCCTTTTAAGAAACCTCCAGCAGAACTACGCTAAGGGAGGGGAGGGGTGGGTCATCTGCTGCAACCAGTTTTAAGCCTCATCTTAAAAGTAGAGATAGTGTCTCTCTCCTGAATCCAAAGTCTTATACTGTTTTCTTTGCCTTGGACAGATATTCTAAAAATTATTCAAAAAGGGGTTTTAATATGAAATCTTTATGATTTCATGTTAATCTTTATGAATATGAGATCTTTATGCCATAATTCAGAGTTCTTCAGAGTTCACTATCACAGAGACAGTATGTGAGCTTTAAACATCCTTCAAAGCATTAAGTTTGCCTGTCTGTTCTGTTATCAAACCACATACTTGAGGATATATCTGAATCTTGCTCTAAGTCTTACAGCAATGGTTCACTGCACAACATCACAATGTAGTGGTTAAAAGTGGATAATTACAAATAAAATCAGACCACAAAACTTTCCATTACCCTAGCCACATCAAAGATCCAGTTCCTGGAATAAACTACAAAGAGCAGGAGAAAAATTCTCTGTAGGAAACATTTTCATTATTAAAAATATCAGAGCACATACAAACATATGGCTAACCCCACCCAGTCACTCGAAGGTCAAGTATTGACTAATGCAAACAGCAATTCTAAGAATAGCTAGTGAGTGTCTAACCAGGGGCTGGAGTCTCTGGTATCAGCTGGAAGTTTTTATTTCACCCCATGACTGTGAGTCATTGCGCTGCAGAAATGATAACTAAAAGAGAAAAGGACATAAAAAGACCTTGGAGTCATCCTAGTGCATCATAAACAGACAGATGGTCAGGAAACTCGTCAGGTGGAGGTATAAAAGGAAGAGACAGGTATTTCATCCACTGTCCTTTAGGGGTTAACATTCGACAGCAGGCGGGAGGTGTGTGAGGGAGGTGGAGGTAGAGGTGGTGGTGGTGGTGGTGGTGGTGGTGGTGGTGGTGGTGGTGGTGGTGGTGGTGTGTGTGTGTGTGTGTGTGTGTGTGTGTGTGTGTGTGTGTGTGGGTGTCTGTGTCACTCTGCATCAATACATAAGTGAAAGCGCCGACGCGGCACAAAGTCAGGCAGGTTGGCTCACAGGAGCGGGAACTGGCCTGAGTGCGATAAAAGGGGAGCTGGAAAAGCATTGCAGCAGGATGAAAACAGGAAGTCTTTTATTCTGAACTCAACAGCTTTGCCTCAAACACTGAAACATCTTTATTGGCTGGGGATGATTATCCCATATTAGCGCCTGTCATCTGGTAAAAACTACCAATGGTACACAAACAAAACCATGTCTTTTGCCCACTGTGGCCGATTACTTTGGACATACAATACATGCAATAGGTTTATGCAATATGAAATCATACCTAATGCTAATTAATAATCAGAAAATTGTATTGATTGAGGAAGAGGAGCACTGGAGCTTCCAGGAAAATTAAAGCCAAATACAGCTGACCTGGCCTGGATGGCAGCCGCTCTGGACTTCATGCTGTCAGACTCTAAAGCCAGCTGAGCATTCTCCATCAGTAGTTTACCGACCTGACAAAGCAAAAAACAAAAAAACAAATAAGATGTGATTAGATTTGGAGGTCAAGGCAAAATCTAACCGGTGATTCTATACATACAGTTTCCATGTTCTGGTGGCATGATCAAAGCTACAGCTCTCTAAGAAACAAATCATGAGATGAAAGTCACAAAACTTGGAAAAAGTGGGAGAGCAAGTCGCGGCAGTGGTTAGCACCGCTGACTTTTAGGAAGAAGGTTCTGGGTTTGAATCTCGTGATCTCTGGACTCTTTTGTGTGGAGTCTGGTTATTTTCCACATTATAAGGCGCACTTAAAATCCTAATTTTCTCAAAAATCGACAGTGCGTATTATAATCCGGTGCGCCTGATGTATGAATTCTGGTTGTGCTTACTGACCTTTTATGTGGTACACGGCGCTCAAAATCTGTCAACAATGTTTTAGTAGGACTTTTGTGAGCTATGAAGCCGCACTGCTTGATAGATTTTCTGAGCCTCACGGCTACTGTAGTCAGGAGCCTCGCGGAGTAATCTGGGTCCTAAACTCCTTCTACTTCTGTCCCAAGGTCAAACGAACACTGCGGCATCACTGAGAGTTAAAAACTGTCTAAATTCTTTCATCTTTAATAAAATGATCAGCGTTACTGCTTTACTGGATGTAACAATTAAGTTTAACATCCAGGCATCCATGAAAACAGAATTTATTAAATTTAACGGAGTCAGAAGTTAGCAGGAAGTTAGCTCGCTAGTTTCCACCTACAGCTCTTCTATCATTTTCAACATAAATGAAGACAAAAAACTAAACAGCAGTGACTTTTTTAGGGTTGCTGAAGTTGGGCTAGCTGGTATATAATGATGCGCTACGTGATCGCTAGCTACACAGCTATGTTAGCATAACAAACTGGAGGACGAACGCTAACCTTTTTTCCACTCTGTAAAAGTTAACGTGAGGGTTCCCGTTGGTTACGAACAAATGCAGTTGCATGGCAGAATGCTGTAAACGGACCAAACTTCAGGCAGGAGAACAACTGAGATAATCCATCCACAATAAGAGGTTAGTCATTAATATACTGCAGCAACATGGGAATAGAGCAGCTGCGAGAGAATTCAACATTAATGAATCAATGGTATGGAAGTACGGAGCCCTGCAAGGGACATGGGAGAGAAAAAAATTACGATGAACTTTTGCGAGATCTCGCAAAACTAACTCGGGATCTCGCAAAAGACAGATATCTCCGAAAATGTCAGAGCACTTTTGCAAATATGTGATGTCTGGAATTCAACTTTTGCGAGATCCCGAGTTACCGAGTTACCTTTGCGAGATCTCGCAAAAGTTCATCTTAATTTTTTTTTCTCCCATGTCCCTTGTGGGGCTCCGTATGGAAGTGGAGGAAGCAAGAAGAATGAGTTGAGTAAAATTTGACTCATCTGACTGTTTTGTTTCGCTTAATGCGCCTTATAATCCGGCCTGCCTGATGGTCCGGTATTCTCCTAAACCCTGTGTGGGCTTACAAGTACTCAGGCTTGCTAAACAGTCCAAAAACATGCATGTTAGGTTAAGAGGTGATTCTAAATTGGTCGTACATAAAGAATCTAAATGCATAAAATAAAGTGCAATATGACTTTGTGTGAAAATGTAAATGTGGCTTGTAATCTAAAGCACTTTGAGTGGTCAGTGAGATTAAAAAGGAGCTATAAAAATGCCCAACCCATGCTATAGACGCCTCATGCTTGTAATCCATCCTACTTTGCATGCCAAAATCCCCATATTATCAGACGCACACAGACTCTGAAGAGATACTGTTATGAATTAGGCCTATTCAGAAGAAAACAAAGCATTTGTACATCAAAGGTGATGCGATTGACTCGATTCAGCTCACGCCCTTCCTCTTTGTACTTTTTAAATATAAATTACACTAATACCTCAAAATATAGCTTGTTGAATATAAACTTGATATATTTAATTTACAGGTAAAGCTAAAATCGATCCTTTGAGTGTTATTGCTCCTCATGTCACTTCTGCACTCAGAAAGCCAATCAGTGGTCCAGTTTGCACATCCTGTTTACATACTGTTCATGGGAGAGTTCATTTAGCATACACCTTCTGCAGGGATTTATATCAAATCCCACAATTTTTTATAATTTCTAATATTATTTTAATACAGCAAAGTAAAGTATAAAACATTGGATCCTTGTATTATATCAAACACAAATAAAAATCTTAACACGCCCTCATTCTCCTTTGTTTTCTTATGAGTACAAAACTTTTGAAAGAAGACACACCCTTGCTGAAAGAAAGCCAAAGATAACATCGACTATTCCACCATTTTTTTTTTTTACCATAAGCACCATTACAAGCTTCACTCATTATATGGATAGAACATTACAATCCCAGCTTCAGACTCCCGGTGAGGATGTGAGTCAGGAGACTGACAACATCATGGAGTAATGTCTGCCCCGTCTCCTGTGATGTAACTAAATTGAGCACTTCTTAAGAAGATAAATAGAGAACTAATCCCTAACATTTATATGGAAGCACTCCCTGGATCCTCAGACAATGAAGTTGGCTGAGTTTGTCTGTGGTAGTCATGGGAACATGTGAACAACTAATTAGTGTCTGTCAGTGACACCTACTTATGCACGGTGTAAAGAAAGTGACAGTAAATCCAGGGAGCAGCTCAAAACCATCAGTTGAGTCATGGGAGATCACTGCTGTTAGTCGTCGACTCAGCGCTTCCGCATTCTTTCTGTGGCAGCCATCAATCGTGGGTCTCTGTGGCAGCGTAATGATACGGGCACAAGACATATCTTTCTATATCTGTGGCGAGCCCTCTCACAGTACGCAAAACATCTTCGATTAGTCTCGTTGATACCAAGGCTGTTACAATGATAACTAATGTTAAAGGTAAAAAACTTGGGCGTGTGGTTCGACATGGTGCTCTCTTTCAGGTCTCATGTAACAGAGACAACAAAGTCCACCTTTTATCATTTAAGAAACATAATCAGACAAGTTTTGTCAAGCAACACTGCAGAGGTTCTTGTCCATGCATTTGTGTCTTCGCGTATTTATTATTGTAATGCTCTCCTTTCTGGGCTACCAAAGAAAAGTTTTAGAGGTTTACAGATGGTTCAAAATGCAGCTGCTCGCATTTTAACTAAAACTGGGAAATCTGAGCACATTACCCCTGTACTGAGATCTCTTCATTGGCTACCTTGACAGGTTCAAGCAGATTTTAAGGTCCTGCTGCTCACCTACAAGGCTTCAAATGCACCTTCATACCTCTCTGACCTTGAAGACCCACTTGTTCACCCTGTCCTACATGTCAAAATTCCATGCCTTTTAGTTTTTAAATAATAATAATAATAATAATAATAATAATAAACTAAGTCTAAAAGCATTTTACCTACCTGAAATGATTATTAGCTAAAAAAAATGTTATGTATTATGTGAGTACAAGAAAATAATTATTAGAATATAATGTGTTAAATTGGCTTAGATGAGAGGGTCCAGCAATAGATCAGAGGAAGAGGGAAGCATTTGTTTGTGTGTTTTAGTTTGGTTTAGCTGTAGGCTTGAGAGTGTGTGTAATTGTGTAGAGGGAAAGGAATTTATGGAGACTGGGGGTCAGCCTGTCATAAAAGGAGACAGGAAGCTACAGTTGGGGGTTGCTGATGCTGATGCTTGTACCTTTAATAAAAACTCATAATTGTTATAACTTAGAAGCAGGTTTGCAGGAGACTCTCCACATGCTTATCTGTAAATGTAAGACAACAAGAGGCCAATGGCCCAGTGGATGCAGAGTCGGGGTCTCAGTGTTTGTAATATGTTAACTCTGTTTTGTATGTTGTGTAGAGGAATTTAGTGTAGCTTGGGTGAGGAGATTACTTTTATGACCGGCAGGAAGTCACGTACACAGAGACACACACACAGTGCTTTGACTGTTATGACGCACCCACACCTATATGCACACTCACTCACGTGCACTCACACTTACACACGGGTACGCGCACACACACTCACTCACGTGCACGTGCATACACACACAAACACAGAGTTTGCAGCACACCGTGGGGGTTTTATGATGGGGTCACTTCTATAAAGCTGACTGTAACAAACAAAGGAGTGGAAGATTTGCAGAGGGACACTGGCCTTGCGCGCCTCCCCTTCTCTTGCTTAACTGAAGATGAATGAAGATGAATAAAGGTTTTGTGAAAATGACTACTGAGTCCGGTGCCGTCTCTGGATGCCTCGAGGAATAAAAAAGAACTGATTTCGTAACAGTTTCAAAACTAATAAACCAGAAGCTTTATATCTACATGACATACAAGTCTTTAGTATTTGGCTTTTAGTATTGGACAATTGCAATGATTTGTTTTATTACATAATAAAGCAAAATCACATTTAGGAGGGGCCATAGGAGTCCAGTCAATGTGGATTGGGCTCTTGTTGAGGACTGAAACTGGCTTTGGGTAGGTGGAACGTCACCTGTCTGGTGGGGAAGGAGTGTGAGGTAGTTCTAGAGGCAGAGGGATACTGGGTATGGCTAAGTATAGTTAGACTCATCTCAGTGCACAACTTGGAACCAGTTAGTTGGAGCGGTTGGACTGACACTGAGAGGTGGCAGGCAGGGGTGGGTATATTTTTATCCCCTCGGTTCAGTGCCTGTAATTTGCAGTGATTATAAGCTGAACAGCATCTCAATGTACCCAGTAGGGTCCCTGAGTGGAGTCCTGGAAGATGCCCCATCTGCCCTACTCAGGGACCCCTGTGCTCACGAGGGCAATGACATTGTGACCTGGAGTTATGTGACTGGGAGGAACACCATGCTCGCACATAAGGGTGCCCATAAGTGCACAGGGTACCAGGACACCCTAGGCCTCAGGTTGATGATTGGTTTTGTAATCATATCATCAGCTCAGCTGCTTGCTGAGGAGCACTGAAACTGAGAGGAGATCGAACCCCCGCCCCCCAAAAACATGTCGGCTGCAGCCCTGATGCACAACTTTCTCTATTTTGAAGTTAGCGTTACGCTTGTTCAAGTTTTTGTTCCATGCAAACGTCAATAGCATTAAGCAACACTAGCTAACCTTGACTTGTGAGCTACTAACCCCAAAATGCTGTCTCGAGTTGCTCCTGGAAGCGAATTGACTATATTATATTATAACTACCGGTATATTATAACATTGGACTGAGTTTGGCAGATGAAATAAAAAGTAAAAATCTTGCTGTGTGTTTATGAGCTATTTGAAACTGTTAACTACATTCTATAATAACCAAATCATGTTTTATGTGTCAGTGAAATGAGTGCACACACACAGTGACAGCTAACTTTGAATATAGCAGTGCAACAGCAGCAGCCTTCCTTCTTTGGACATGCCTGTTCTCCAGTGACTTCATGTCATATGCCATGACACGATTAATCGACGAGCAGCATTGTCTAGTCGACTAGCTTTTCACTTTAGCCTTTAGTAACTCATCTGATTCCTGTGGCCTGATATTTGTGATAAATTAACTTGTAGTTGTCAAATTATTTTATCAGCCGTGAATGAACTGTTGCCACATTCATGCAGCGTAGCAAAGTTACATCTAGCTTTCACATATTTAATTAAAAATGATCAACAACAGATTAAATTTGCGGTCCTTGTATGCAGTCCTAACAGGAACTTCAGAAATAAAAGGCAGTTCATTTTACAAACTGTGTGATGGTCTTAAAAACAGGGTGCCATTAACCACCTATCCTATCCTTTAACTAAACATGTGTTCGAGGCTGTTCACAGGATGCTGCATCCAGCTGTCATCGACACTACACTACACTGGACAATAGGCTGTTTTTACTGCACTCATTGTTTGATTATACACACCCACTCCTCTCCTGTGGCTGCAAGATGGCCTTGAGCTGATTATTATAAAGCCTGAGTAGAAATAATACTGCAGCACCACAATTATGTCAAACAGCTGTGAAATTTACATAACTCTTTATACCATCTGACCTGGGCACGGAGCTCCTTGACGGTCTGTTCCTGTTTGGACCAGTCCTGGGAACGCGCGGTGTTCCTGACCCCCCAGCTGGCTATCTGAGCCTCCAGCTGCTGGTTTTCTTCCTGCAGCCGGTTCACCTGCTCCAAGAAGCTCTTCAAGCGAGCATTCAGGCCCCACATTGTGTGACTGGAGTCCTGCAGCGAGTCCATGGACATCTGAGAGAGAGCGAATGTTTACAGTCACACGCAGTTGCTGAGCCTGTGAAATTTTCATACAGTCAAATGACGCAGCTGGTGGTGCCTGTGATGGCCAAACCTTTCAGGCAGTACGTGACTGACAGGCGCGTGTTCACAAGAGCTTACAACTTTCTCTGCAGTGTGAAACCCACACGCTGCCAAAGGCGTTTACAAGGTAAATGTTTACCTAGTGATACTCACCTGCAGCAACGTGGCCTTCCCTGAATGAAGCACAGTATATGTAAGTCACTCTGTTTGCCCGGTCACACAGTCCACCACTCCTCACAGCTTAGCTGCATTCCTCCACAGCGAGCTGGAGAGCACTTCCCACTGTGTCCCAGGTCATCGGCAGCAGGCCCCCGAGACAGAGCAGACAGGCTGGCCTGCCGGTATCAGCGTTCGCTTGTCTTCAGGGTCAGTCACGGCAGGGACGTTCCTCCCTGTCCCACCTCGGCCCCTCCCAGGCAGCATGTGGTTACCCGCTGGACACTGGACACAGTGCTTGCATCACCAACGCTCTGGGGTCCCTTTGTACTCTCTGATCCAGGATTACTGATCTGCTTTCAAACAGGCAGCAACACAAGCTGCGGAGGGAATGTTCAGGGAGACACAGTGACAGGACCTGAGTGTGTGTGTGTGTTTGTGTGAATGGTCCTGTAATGAAAAGTTACATTCACTGTAATGAATGTGAAGCCCGTGTCCCTGAACACTCTCTCACTCTTTGTGCAGACTTGCTCAATGACAGCCTTGGTTGGATGTGTTTGTGCTGTCTGGGCCAAAGGTTTTCTCTTCCAAATATTATTATGTGGTTTTTTTATATTCCCTTGGTTACAAGGACTGCAGATACGCTTTCTTAACTACTGTTTAAGCAGTTACTTGATGTCATCTGGAGTTTGTAGCTTTCTGTTGCTTTCAGCGGACAGACTCTGCGGCATCATCTTAGACTTCAATAATATCATGGAAATGGCTAATGTGTTATGATAAGAGAGGTATGTTTTTTTAAGGTGGGGTGTGGTTCAAACACTCTCTCCTCTCAATGTTTAAGAGGATAAACCCAGTAAAAACAACTGGGTGGGCCACTGTAACAGCTAGAAAAGAAAAAAAAACTAAAAACAAGGCTCGACGGAGGATTCAAAAGTGCATGTTAGAAGTGGATGGTGGGCGGGTCTAATGTCTGTAAGACAAAATCAAAATCAGCTGAACTCACATGAACTCACAAGCAGAATGACAGAGCTTCACTGCCATGAACAGATCCCTAAAGATCAAACTGAGGTGTTTTTTTCCACCCTGTTGCACATGAATTCATAACTGAAACTTGGCTTGTTTACCTGCGAATCTTTGGGTCAACTCTCTTTAAAGCCACAGCAGCCACCCAGGTTACTGCAGCTTTCAGCACTGCCTTTGGCATCAAAATTCTAAGCATAGTATTAAAGATGAACGTTGCTTTCAGCTCTGAAAAATTAACTTTGAACGTGCCCCGGGGGACAGCAATAAGGGTGACATTTAACTTACTTTAAATAAATAATTTTAAATAAATAAACACTGTAAAATTTGTATATGTACATGCATTCCTACCCCCCCCCCCCCCCCCCCCCACCCCCTTGAATGTCTCCCTAATTCTGAGGTCTCAAGGATCGCAAGTTTGCAGAGACAGAGCAGGAGATGTAAGAAAAGTGCATGAAATTAAACGACCTTGTGTTTTATTTCTTGGGCTCTATTTTTGGGACTTTTAGAGAAGAGCAGGGTTTTTTCCCTTTTCTGTCACTTACTCGTATCACTTTAAGGTCTGCTACATTAAAAATGGCTCACAAAGATGAATCAATTTTTAAGAAGATGAACGTTTCACTATACCTGGACGCCTTTTTTTGTTTTCAAAGAGCCTTGTTTGCGGATTTGCAAATACTTGAGCTGTCTGGATTTGCTTGCCAGGCAAAACAAGCATGTTTTGCTAAGAGAAAGGATGTGGGGGTACTATTACACACATCTGAGCTTCTTTGTGTTGCTGCAACCTAATATTGTCTCTGTCTAGACTTTCATTCTTTATCTCTGACTTTGGCTTCACTGATGGTTGTGGGTGTTGTGGTTATCTATCAGCGTGGCCAGAAAAGACAGGAAATGGGTTCATGTACAGAGAACAAAAAATCAGATATAAAGAGTGAAAGAGCAAGAGAAGGAGAATAAGTCTGTAACAGGACATGAGCTGTGTAGATTTTAATAATTAAACGCACACACACAAAGCACACTGTCTAACTAAACAATGCCAGACTTGTAGGCCAGGACACTTACTGTCATTGCACTCCCACACCCTGTCAGTAAGATGGATTGGCAGGAGAGCAGCAACGATGATAGTCAGTTGAAATCCGGGAAACAAAAAAGCAAAAAATTTCCATGATTAAAAAAAATGCTCTTAGGGCGTAGCAGGTGGCTCTGCTTTGGGTGTCTGTGACAGATGATTTTTGCTGCAAGCGTGACGGGGGAATGCCATCGAGCCTGTTTCTGGATGCCGTGTTGCTCCCTCAGACATCCAAGATGTGTTTTTTTATTGCACTGCATTTAACTGATGGGTTTAAGCAGGTGTTAACTTGTTACACAAATTTAAGGAGAAAAGGTGGAGGCGTTAGAGGTGGACACTGCCCAAAAAGAGAGTGAAAAACAAAACAAATCCACCCTGGATTATGAGTTTACCACCAAACAGTCTCACGAACATGAACTTTGCCTCTTCGCATTCCTCGACCTCTGTTTCCTTCGAGGGAGGAGGGGCGGCAACAGCTCTTTGATCCTTCTTCATGTGATCCCTCATTTTCATGAGCCTTTTGCTAAACGTGTCTGACAGAAAAAACAGAAAAAACCTGTTATAAACACACAATACCTTTCATCCTTTGTTTCGTAATTAGTGCTTAAAACCAACTCAGTGCCAACAGTTTTTGTTCATACACGGTATCACCACAACAGTCACTTCAGATCTGATTTAGAGACTATTGTGGGCTAAGTCCAAAACTACAGAAAGGATTAACTTCGCATAAACTCCACCAGACTCTGCTGTAGGGGTTATGTTCAGCTAAAGCGTGTGTCATGTGCTTTTACTTGTGGTATAAAGTACACAACAGTTATACTTTAACCTGTGTTGGCTTTTATTTATACCTCTAACCCGCTCGCTCAGGCACCATAAAGTATGTTTCTACTCAAATCACTATTATCAATCATTGTGCTGTTTAAAGCTTTACTAAGAAATGTTTTTATTTCCACAATGCCAAATGACTAATGTAAAGGACAACACAACAGGAGACCAGGTCGTCCTCACCTCTGCAGAAAGTTTTGACATCTTTCAGGTAATTGTGTTTGTATTTTCCCTCTAAGCAGCAGCCAGCACTTTTAGGACACTATTCGAATCCTTTTAACCTCGATGGTGGAGCGCTAGGGATATATTGCTGCATTCAGTTACTGTCCATGGGCATCATTAGCACGCACTTAGCTGCTAGTGAGTGCTAATTAACAGACTAATAAAAACTGGAATTTCACTCACTAAAACTGAAGCACAAACATGTTGAACAGACAAACTGTGCTATTCTTCAGATAATTCCACTAAAAACCTCCAAAAGTTGATTCTGTTCATCTGGACGCAGCGTTTTGTGGGAGAAACGTTTCGTCACTCATCCAGGTGACTTCTTCAGTCTCAGCTGACTGCAGGTTTCCGATCTTATAAACAGTACATTTGCATAATGACTGAAACCAGCCCACCGAAGGAACAATGGGCTGGGAGGTCAGTTCCTTAATCATAATTATGCAAATTCTCATGACGATTGATCAACTACCACTGATCAACAGCCATGAGTACCATTCACAGAGAGTTGGGGAATGGCTGTAATCACAGCATTGTAAGATGGTGACAGATGTACCCTTAGGCCCCCTCCTCAATTCAGAGATGGTCTTTCCCATTTCACGTAAATGCCCTCCTTGACTCCGCCCTCAAACCAGCGTTCCTCCCTGTCCAGGATGTTACATCCTCATCACTGAAAGAGTGTCCACTGGCCTGTAGGTGTAAATAGACTGCAGAGTCCTGGCCTGACGAGGTGGCTCTTCTGTGTTGTGCCATCCGCTTCGCCAGAGGTTGTTTGGTTTCCCCGATGTATAAATCCTGCCAATCCTCCTGGCACTTAACAGCGTACACTATGATACTCTGTTTGTGTCGGGGGACATAAGAGAGTCCACCTTGGGCTGGACCAATTTTTGGCGCAGTGTGTTTTGGGGTTTAAAAGCCACAGAGACCCGGTGTTTAGAAAAAATGGGTCTCAACTGCTCCGATACTCCTGACACATCACTACAGGTTTTCGCTTGGGCAGCGGTTGTCCTTCTCTCCTGCATCAGCTGGAGCTTTCTTTAGGCTTTGACAAAAGTCCAGCTGGGATAACCACATTTACTCAGGGCCTTCTTGATGTGCTGTTCTTCTGCCTCCTTGGCAGATGTCCCCCCATTACTGATGGGGGACATCTAGACACAGTGTAAGAAGGCTAACCTGCCACTTTTCATATCCTCTCTGGTGAATTTGATGTGTCAGTCCACCGAATTAATGTGATCTGTGAAATGTGATACGTCCTGAGATTTGATTTTCACCCAGGTGTCATCCACATACCTGAACCAATGGCTTGGTGGTGTTCCAGGGTAGGATAGCAAAGCCCTCTTTTCCACTTCTTCCATGTACAAAATGGCCACGATGGGTGAAACTGGGGAGCCCACGGCACACCCATGTTTCTGCCTGTAGAACTGACCCTTGAAGTAGGTGGAATGAAGACACAGTTCCAAAAGCAAACACACTTCGATGGTGAGAGTGGTCCTGTTGCTGAGGTTGGTCATCCTGTAATCTCTTACATTCAAGTTTGTCCTTTAACCAGCGCTCACATTGCCCTGAGCGCTGTCACTTAAATCAAATGAGCCACACTTCAGTATTTTTCCACCCCCTCATGGAATCTGTGACATCACAAATACCCCTGATTGATCGTTTGCTATGATCGGCCTGGAGCAGCACCATCACTGTGCCACATCAGTAATCTTTATGGTTTGGTTCGGCCTTTCAGCTCTACACGAGTAATCTGTAGATATTAAAGCATTGATAGTGGTGCCAGCTTCCTGCTTACAGTTTGGATAAGGAGCCTTCCTGTCTCAGCTTGTCATTTGCACATTGTGAAACTAATGGTTTTTGCCAGTTTGACGTGGAACAATCTGACTCAGATACCTCATGAATTCATGGGAATGCAGACTAAGAGCAGGTTTTTGTTATGTTTGATCCCAGTAATTTACAACTAACACGTTATGCAAAAAGAGCTTTTAATCATCTGTAATTGAGTGGTGTGGTTTCTTCACGCGTTCCAGCACTCACACAGTGTCAGAAGCAGAACGAGCACAAGTTAAGCCCTTCACACCTTAGACATAAACGCGGATCAAACCACTGGAAGCACTGGAAACAATGTGGTAACGACCAGAAATGCATCATGCCATACATTTCACGGCTGCTAAGCCAACAAATGTGACATGCACAAGTTCATAACAGTGAGGATGATTGAAGGGAACAGCTTGATCGTTTTGTCACGCACTGGGCAAAGTGGCTCCTCCCAACAGAGCAGGAAAGTGAGCAGAACATCTTTAATCAGTCGTTTGTCGTTAACAGATATTGTCAATGTCACAGCAGTCTCATTCTTACACATCACATTAATGAGACGTGAGGAATCAAGACATGAAACAAGCGTCTCCGAGCACAAGGAATAAATTGAGTGGAAACAACCTGAAGGGACAAAGTATTAAATTCTTTAAATATTTGTATAATATAGATTTTTAAACGGGCCTGAAAAACAATTATCTTCATCGCACTTTGTTTGACATTCATAAAGCACCCCAGGGTTACAGTGTGTTTTGCTTCTCACAAAACA